TTGTTCATTTTCTCTTTAGTTTCAAGTGTCCTAGGAGCTGTATCAGTGAAGAAATTGCTTCGGCATATGTCTGAGATTTTGTTGCCTTTGGATTCTTCTAGAATTTTTATAGTTTCCTGCAAGACAGATTTTGATAAATTTTTAAAAATTTAGAATTTTTCCTGTCTCTTTAGCTTTCCTTTTTTGGAAGAAATTAATCCAGAAATTTAATATTGGTTTATTGGTGATTTGATAACAGGGTATGAATATATTTCTAAAAAGGTGTTTATATATAAATTAAAAATAAGTCATGTTTGCCCTAGCCAGTGTGGCTCAGTGAATAGAGCATCAACCTTCAAACTGAAGAGTCCCAGGTTCAATTCTGGTCATGGTCACATGCCCAGGTTGCGGGCTCAATCCCAGTAGGGCGTGTGCGGGAAGCATCCGATCAATGATTCTCTCTCAGCATTGATGTTTCTATGTCTCCATTTCTCTTCCTCTCTGAAATCAATAAAAATATAAAAAAACAAGTCATGTTTCATAAGAGTTTATAGCAAATTAATGGGTTTGGAAATGTGTTTTATATGAATCGGGATCTTGTAATGTTGTCTTGGTAGGACATGGTATACTTAGCATTACCAAGAGTGTGACATCAAGTTGAAATTAGAATTGGTCACTTGCCCAGTGTCTTTGTTATATATCACATAACCCAAGGCCAAATTATTTTTAGCCACTTATGGATGTATGGGGGGGGGTAGTATTTCTCCATGGTGATGTGAGGAGTAGTGGTTGATGCTCTGAACTGTGGTTTTTATGGCATAAACCAGGGCAGAGAGATCAGAACCAATATCAATAATAAGAATAGAAAGGAAAGGGGCAGACAGCAGTCTGTTAATATAAGACATCCCAGGTACACAATTGCTTTTAGGCTTGTATGGTTATGCTTTACATTTATTTAATGATACACATGATAAAGGAACCTTGTCTAAGAGGTATTGCAAGGTTTAGGTGGACAGGACTTGCTCTAATGACAGAAATCTTGCTCTGCTCTCAACAATTGGAGTGTCGACGTGAGAAACATCTAAACCTGTAGAAAATTTTTATAAGAGTTTATCTGAGCCCAAAAGAAGATACTACCTGGAAGCAAAATCTCAACAGACTGAGATAAATGCTTTAGAGAATAACAGTAAATTCATAATTTTAGTAGCTTTATCCATTTCTTCCAATTTAAATAATTGATTGGCCAGAGTTGCTAGTTTATGGGCCTGTGTTGCTGCCTAGTTTAATTCATGTTATTTAATCAGAATTACAAGCTCCTCATCTAATCCTTCCAGAAATGCTGAATTGAGCATTATATCATTTTGATGATTCTTTTTTTTTAAATATATTTTATTGACTCTTTACAGAGAGGAAGGGAGAGAGACAGAAAGTTAGAAACATCGATGAGAGAGAGACATCGATCAGCTGCCTCCTGCACATCCCCCACTGGGGATGTGCCCGCAACCCAGGCACATGCCCTTGACCGGAATCGAACCTGGGACCTTTCAGTCCGCAGGCCGACGCTCTATCCACTGAGCCAAACCGGTTTCGGCCATTTTGATGATTCTTAAAACTGTCTGGAGACAATCTTGAATGTTGTTTGAAAAAAATTTCGAAATGCTCAAAGAAAGCTAGTATGGTTTCATCAGGTTTTTGTCTACATTGCTAGATTTTTATCCAGTTTATTTTCCAGGGGAAAATCTCAGGGATGTCTTGGTGAAGCTGGTGGGCTAATTCCCTGCATTTTTCTTGGTCTATTTCTCTTCGTTTTAAAAGTTCCTCTATAGGAGTTTCCCAGCAGAACTTACCTAGCCATTCTGCTGCTTTGCTCTCAGAAATCAATAGGTGTATTAGCTGGAATAGGTGAGAATAGCCAAAATCATGTATTCTAACACTTAAATAAAATGTCTTTACCAACTGAACCGGGTCTTGGAGAGGATTGGTAAAATATTTAGTTAGATCCCTTAATTCTGCTTTAGTTCAAGGAGAGTAAATTATTGCTTGTTCCCCCTGTGCTGGGACTGGCTCATCTCAAAAGGTAGCTGCCAGAATTTCTGGTTTTTCTAGCCTATCCTGGTCTGGCTTTCTATTCTTAGTTTCCCCAAAGTGTATAGAGTGTTGGTGGAGAGGAGAAAAGAGGAGAGAGGGAGGGCAAGTTAAAAAAAGGGAGCTCAGAAAGTAGTGGGGTGTTTGGAGAAAGGGGGGAAGTGGGGTGTGGCATTGACCAGTTTTGGAAACCTTCTTTAATTCAGAGACAGTCTCTAAAAGTTTCTTATTAGCTTCCTGAAGATAAGAGATTTTTATTTGCGGGCTCAAAGACAGTCTTTAAAATTTTATTAACTTTCTCAAAGGAAGAAAGTTTATTTGTGTTTCTTTAAACTTATTTTTAAAAAACATATTTTTAATGATTTTCAGAGAGAGGAAGGGAGAGGAAGAGATAGAAACATTAATTATGAGAATCATTGATGGACTACCTCCTGCACGACCCCTACTGAGGATTGAGCTGGGAACCGGGCATGTACCTGACCAGAATAGAACTGAGATCTCCTGGTTCATAGGTCGATGCTCAACCACTGAGCCACACTGGCCAGGCTATTCGTGCTCCTTTTAGAGGCTTCTATTTTCCAATCAAGGTAAACATCCCATTTACTCAGTTCAGTTTTAGAGCCTGCTTTTTCCAACTGAGCAAACCAAAAAAATTAATTTTGAGGTGTCAAAAGAACACCCCGTTTTGGCCATCGTCAGCTGATATCAATTTTAGTTAAACTTCCCCATTTCTGTAGATACTAGCAAGCTGAGGCTCTGTATGTGTTGTACATAAAACTCGCCAGAGTACTAAAGAGAGGCTGACTGTTATGGGGTTTGTTTGCCTCGACAGCAGGATTTCCCATCTTAATTTTAATTTTTCTTTTGAGCCAATTTAAAAAAGCTGAAACTAAAACCAGTTACATAAGAACATCTCAAGGTCAGGAACCACTACCTAAAGTAGCTACCTTCAGGATTCCAAGAAAAGACTCATTCAAATTCACCTGATGTGAAGTGAGGAGGCGGTGGTGCACAATGAGCCCTTGCTGGTACCTGGCACCTGGTCTAGGCCTGAGGGATGGTCCTGGGTGAGCTTCTTCAGAATCCTGCTGTACTACACCAAGTGAATGTCCCTGTAAGACATGATAAGAGTCTATTTAAACTAAACTGAGGACATATGCTGGGGAGCAAGATCTCAAATGCTTCTAAGAATAACAGGTTTGCACCCTCTTTTATTCATTTGAAACTAGGAGAAACATACATGGAAGTGGGAGAAAGCAAGATGGGGATTGATTACGGGATACTAAACAAAATTATGTGTTCTCTTGAGGGTTAATACCCTCTTTGAGGGGTATTACTTCTGGTTTTTTTTTACTCTTTATTGATTAAAATATTACATGTGTCTCCTTTCCCGAGGCGCCCCCACCGCCCATTGACCTCTTCCCAGCCACTCACACCCTCCAGCATCCAGTTTCTCTTCTGCATTTGAAATTAAGGAGGGACCATAAGGAAGATTACATGAAGGTAGGAGAAAGCAAGGTAGGAATTGGATTACAGGAAGTTAAGATTATGTGCTCTCTTGAGGGTGGTCACATTTTAATTTTCTTTCTTTCTTTTTTAGAGAGAGAGAGACAAAGGGAGCGGGAGAGATAGAGAGAAACATCGATGTGAGAAACATCGATCTGTTGCCTCAACATGCATATTCGTGATCCAATCCACAATCTGGGTATGTGCCCTGACTGGGAATCAAACCAGTGACCCTTTTGTGCAAGGAACAATGCCAGCCAAGTGAGGCACACCAGTCAGGGCAAGGGTGGTCATATTTTAGAAGGAGGATTCTACCAGGAGGTCACAGTTCCATTCCCAGCCAGGGAACATGCTCAGGTTGCAAGCTCCCAGCAGGGGGCGTGGAGGAGGCACCTGATCAATGGTTCTCTCTCATCACTGATGTTTCTATTCCTCTCCCCCTCTCCCTC